TGTTTTTCTGCACCACAAGTGTATAACTGGATGTGATAGTGTCGAACACATTGGTACGACCGCGGTGACATGTCACAGTTTGTGGTCAACATGCCGTGTAGTCTGTCTGATCAGCGGCAAAACTAGAAGGTTTCCAAACAGGTCGAGGAAAACAAATGTCTCTTTTTGTGGCCTTGATATGACACGCTTGCATTTAGCGAAAACCTGGTGATTAGAAGTAAATACTGCCAGTTGAATATATTACGAGCATCGATATAATTTTATGCTTCTGCATTGATGTTAAGCTTTCATCGGAATATAAATTTGACACAAAATGTAACGTACACCTACACGGCCGGTCCACGGTCACAATATCCCAACATTAGCATGTTTAATGATTAAGACACTTATATTGTTCTCCCATATTGTTTTCACTCAAACTACAAATGGCGTGAGAGGAACGAAGTAAAATGACTTCGAAATGGATTGCAAAATTGTCAGATAAAAATTGTCGACACTACGAAATTGCGATCTGGGCCTTCAAAGCCAGTAAGCAATCAGTAGAGAATGCTGTCAGGCCTTGCTCTCCCCAGATCTGTTAGATTTTAACTCCCAGTTTTTACGAGTTTCAAAACATTCAGCTATACAGACCAGTGACAGCGTATGGAATTAACTGATGGTGACAACAACCACTAACACTTGTAGCACGTTCAAGTGTTTAAAGTCGGCACGTTCAAATTTGATTAGTGAGGGGCAAGGGAGTACTAAGAGGATCACTAGCTCTAGTGTTGGCGTTGTATGCTCCTTGGCTAAAGAGCACAGCCAAACTTCACCAAGTTAGAGCGTTTTCATTGGGATATACATAAGCTCATGCACGGTCGCACTTTGAAAAGCCGTAGACCAATGTATATAATAATTAGATGAAAGGCTACACATGCATTTTATAGGAGCTCTTTAACCCGCGCGGGGCTGGGGTCTCCAGCCGAACGCGCGGGGCTGGGGGGGGGGGGGTAAATTTTACCCCCCCTGTTATCTCCCGAACTAATGGTCAGATTTGGAAAATTCAAACGCCAATCGAAAGCTCTCATCACGAACTACTAAAAACATTTACTTAATTTAAAGTTTGAGGTCAAGGTCAAGGTCAGGTCAAGGGTACAAATTGCAAGTTTCTACAGTATCGGCCTTGCACCGTAGTTGCCGAAGAATGGAGTCATGGACTGAGACTGATCGCCCAAAACGTGTTCTTAGGCTACCAAGACAATATTAGTTGCATACAATATCATTCAGAGTTCAAGGTCAAGGTCAGGTCAGGTCAGGTCAGGTCACCAAAAAGCAAAATATAGAAAAGGGCATGTGCGACACATGTTTTATGGGTCATTTTACTCATAGAATTCAATAGGCACACTCAATAAGTGATATGGACCACCTCTGGATGAATTTCAGGTCGAGGTCAGGTCAAGGTCAGGTCAAGTGAGGTCAAATTTTGAAGTTGGTTGTTAAGGCCTAAAAAGGTGTCTATCTGATGCAGTTTTTCACGGCGAATCGAATGGTGCTATTTTTGTTTCCGTACGAGGTCTAGAACTTCCAAAAAAGTCATTTTTCAAAAAATTTGTGTGTCGTGACGTCATAAAATTTTGAATAACTCCCACATTTTTGAACCGATTCTTCTAAAATTTGGTATGTAGGTGCACATAGACCACTTCTCTGACATATATTCCGGTTTTTTCGATAGACTCAAAATTTTGGATTTTATAATAATTTTCCCAAAAAAATCAGTTTTTTGAAAAAATTTAGGCCAAAATCCAAAATTTTCAAAAAACCGAGATAGCCATTTGATAGACAAAGTAAAATTACGTATAACCTTTTTTGTTACGTCTTGATTCCTTTAAAAATGAAGATGTTAGCGGCGTTTGAACTTTTGCCGTTTTTGAGGCGAAAATGGCGAACATGACGTCACTAAAACGTCAATTTCTCAAAAATTTTCCGACGGATTTCGCTCAAATTTTCAGGGAAGGTGTCAAATTGATGTAAGAAAAGGTACTGAAAGTTTGGCGGCGCTGCGCGCCGCCGTTTTTGAGATATCGCAAAAATTCGCGAGGGGGGGTAAAATTTACCCCCCCCCAGCCCCGCGCGGGTTAAAACACCATTAGGTTCAAAGATCACAAGCAAAAGTCGGATATCAGCGGTCAGTGTTTTCAGCAAGGCTAACATCATGAATAACATGAGCGTTCGATTATGCTGAGAAAAATACGCGAAATTATGAGCATTGAAAGACGACATTTGTGTGGATCTATACCTGCCAGCTTATCTTTCAATTCACATTCCATTTGAAAGTCGGTCAAAGTCGGTCTGTGGGACGAATGAACGGCACTCTTCCCATATGAGCATTGCATGACTGAGCCATTCAACTCACGATTGGCCCGGAAATAGCCTCGCGGAATCGGTTGTTTTATCACACCGCGCTGACATGGCCGTCACTGGGATGCAAATGAACTCGATCGATATTGTGGCATAGCTTTATTTTTATTTCGGTCACTGTAACATAACCTTAGGTGTAAACTATTGCATGACTGGATTTTGCACGAAAAAATACCGACCATGTATGTACAGTGGGACTAAAATCGTCTATGCAATATGCATATTAAAGTGTATATTTTATGTATGTTTTCACAAGCTGATTAGGAAGAACGTTTTACATGTGTATTGTGTATGCATGCAAAAAGCTTGTGTTTGTTCGCTCTCAGTACATAAAAACAAAAATAAGGTGTTACGCAGTACAGACAGCAATCATAGCGAGGCACTTACCGACAGAGTACCTATATGTGTACGTATATGCAACCTTATACGGCATATAACAGAGATCAGAGAAGTCAAGTCGTAGGTATCAGGGGTGATACTATTGCCAGCCTTTCCCATCAGCGTATATGACAAAGAGCTTTCAGGCAAATGGTGTTAACTTTCAGCGAGCTTATTTCTTTGCTCTTTGGTGCTGCATAACAGCGAGGTTCCCCGGATGCCATCCTCCCGGAAAGACATACCGTGCTCCAGCAGATGAATAAGAGGAGGTGATGCCACATAAGATGAATGTGCCATAAATTGCACGCCCAGGCAATCTATGATAATGACAGCTGCTATTTAGATTGACTCCGTTCACCTTGGGAATGCGATTGCGTCTGTGTTTGTATCAGATTTGTTGGCATGATGGCGACCTTATGTATATTTCGTGACTCAGCTTTTGTTGTGAAATGCTTCCTGCTTTTTGACTGTCCTACGGATCACGCTCTTTAAGAGTTTATACATCGTGAAAAGAATGATAACATCGTTTAGTTATGTTATCGCAGCTTACTGACCCTCAGTATCATCTCATCTCAGTCTCGTCTCCACCCGGTACCTCGCCTAGAAACACACCACCGCAGGATTACCACCAAATTATGAAACGGTAATATTAAAAAACCCCTCGTTACGTCACTAGCCTTTTTACGAGCCACTCTGATGTAGGAAGCGACACAGCCAGTGCAACAAGCTTTGCACGACCTGAGGCGAAGCGTGTAAGAGCTTGTGATCGCAATGATATGAGTGATGTCAGACCATCCGTCGAGCGATCTCTGGCGGTGACGAGTGCTCCAGTTTTGTCGGCCGATCAGGTGTGAGATCTCGGATTGCAGTGACGTAACGTCCGTAAGTACCTGGCTAACGTGAGCACGAGGGTGAATCCATCCGGGCGGCTGATCTCCGTCTACACCTGCTCGAAAAAGAACGCTATCTTTGATATCGGCTGAAAATCACGTAAAAATCACGCTCGCTACTGACGTCACTGCGGTTACGTAAACACATTCGGGTGAGCCGTTTCACACAGAGATGTGAAACACGGGCGACGTCGTGAGAAAATGACTTCCGACGATGCGCCGAACTAAGCGCCGCTTTGTGCGAAAGTCACTGGTCACTGGATACCGGTCAGAGATCGCTGCAGATACCCTGTCAGAGGACTGGAACTGCAAGGAGGCAAATGTCAAAGAGGCTCTGGCTGAGGTGATAGTTACATCGCTGCACCAAATAGGCTGATGGATATTTCATCGATCCCCAGAAAATAGATTACCTACTTTGCGTGCTTACCGATCAACTTATTGAATGGTTTGTTCTAAATGCAAAAGCAGTGACGTATCAAATGACTAAATAGCTGGCTAAGGTCTGTTTTGTCATTGCAATTAGACGACAGTGACGAAAAGTGTTTTCCCAATTTTCCTTTTCAACGCCTTTTTGTATAAACTTAAAAACAACAACTATCAGCACAGTTTTTACTTAGTTGTTACGCTGGCCTTTGCTTCCATGCACGGAATAAGTGCTGGCGTTTTCAAGCATGACTTAAATTGTTGATGATGCAGCCAAAACACCAACCTTGAGCCTCCCCCTCAATTGCCAGCAAATCTTATTTCACTGCTCATTCCAAATATTTCGGAGCGAATGGTTTGGAAGACAAACAAGTTGATGGCGGAGCCGCTAATGGACCGAAAATAACGCATCCAACGGCCAGTTACAAGGAAAGATATATAGGAAGAATTCCATGCATTATCTCAGACAATCATAAATGAGAATACAAGTTTTCAATCCGAGAGAAAGAAAACAATTGATTAGAGCCCAACACAAGCAATCTTACAGCAAGCAAGCAATCACAAGCAAGTGATCTTACACAAGCAAGCAGTATGATAAATTTGAAAGCTTATGAAAGTTTCTGAGCTACGATACTGATCTCAAACACATTTTGATAGCCAGCATATTGTTACAATAAAACTAATAATTGAACGTCGATCAATGCAACTAATAACACAATTAGGGCTGCCAACTTCGTTCTTGATTCAATATTGAACGTCCAAATATCTAACAAATCTTCGCGAGCAACTCAGCACGCTTGCATTTACCGTCATAAGTCATTCAGCACGCTGCCACCAATGCCATTAATAAAAAGCCGCCCCGATGCACCGCCGGTGCCGGTCCCATCTCCAGTCTGTCCGCCTTCCACTCACCATGGCTGTGTGGGCGATTGAGCGGTGCCGGTGCCGTGGGTCCTCCGATCGAGACGGCGCTGCTCGAGACGACCCTCTGCGCCTGTGGCCGGGCCAAGACGTACCGGTGTTCTGTCGGCCGCCGCTCGCCGCCCTCATGGTGGCACGCGGCGCGCCGCCCCCGCCCCCGCCCCCGCCCACGGCCTGCGCGCTTCACCGCGCCGCGCGCGCCGGGCTGGGCGGGCTGCTCCGGACTGGACTCCAGAGCGAACTCCAGAACGGACTCTGGCTAATAACTCTGAACCAAACTTGGCCGAGGGTCGAGCAGAGGACTCATAGGGTCTGTTCCAGTCGCACTTCCTAACACCTCTAAACTCCTCCAAGATTGCTTCCCTGTTCCAGTGGCAGCTCTAGCCCTTACAAGCCAAGGAGGGCCCTGCTCTAACCTCCTCTATCTTGCTCTTGGAGGAGTTTAGAGGTCTTAGGAAGTGCGACTGGAACAGACCCATACATAACACACGGAGTTGTGACTCGCACAAGACTTGGCAAACGGTTCAGGTTACAGCACAGGACTCGATAGAGAACTCGGTAGACTACTCGGTAAAGGACTCGGGATAGGACTTGATTTGAGGCTCGGTGCAAAATTTCGCCAAAGATTTACCAACACGCTGTCGCAATCGAAATATTGATTTAGGTACTGGGTATGACATTCGAATCAATGAACAATTCGCTACGAGCACTGCAGGCCGCAACAGTTCGAGCTGATTTTCCTCCATTTAGCAAAATACGTCTACAAAACGGTGCATTTGCGCCTAACTAGCACGACATACATGTAGACACCAAATTGATGATTTGATATACGAGTATTTACATATCATCTGTACATAATTTGAAATGTTTCGTCTCATCAACGAGGTGCGTGGAATGTTGTTTTTTTCACAGGCATAACATAAATCATGTTATCTATGTCACAGACAATGACAATACAATAACAATGCAAATATTGTTATTGTCTGTGAGAAAAACAAAATGTCTCACTCTTCTGATGCGAGAAATATTTGTCCGTGTTAAATTTTAATAGCGCGAAACAGCTATTCAATATTGCAGAATAGACATTTGAATTGTGATTGCGTGATATAAAAGGAATGCGTCTACCCATTTCATATGTTATGAGAAGGTCCCGCAGCTTTCCCTTTTGGTGCACTTTGCTATCCTGACTTCCAGTTCCTTATATCTTCATTGTCACCTTTTATCTTTCTTTACTTTTACCAGGCGTACATAGCTGTTTGGTACTTACGTATATCCCAATAGCTAGTGACTAAAAGTGGATACATATTAGTTAATTGGCTTGTTGGCATCATAAGAACTGCATGGTTTGACGTCATTACCCGAGTAAAGTAATGGCGAGCCTAATATGCTGTAGATTTATATAGAAAACCACTTTTATTGCTGGCGGTTGCTAAAAGCTTAGGGTTATTTTTGCACTGTTTGTTTGTCTTGAATGTATCCAGGTAGGTATCAGTGCCAACTGTGAAGTACACAGGTGTATAGGAATCTATGTACTTATTATGTATAAAATGTTGTTTTGACACCACCTTTATTATTTTAACCCGCGCACCGACGGGGGGGGGCGGATATCCGCCCCCCCCCCCCTGAGGTTTTTCGCGAATAGCGGAAAAACCGCGGCGCGTAGCGCCGCGAAATTTGGTATGACTATTCCCTTATCAATTTTACACATGGTGTGCAAGTTTGAACCTCCTACCTTTCAAGGTCAGGTCACCAGGTCACTTTGAATGACCCAACCTCGTCACTTTTTTGCAACTTTGTCACCGTGCCAGAGCTACAGTAGATGTCGGAGGCCTTTGAAAGTCGCAGGATGTTATTAGGTCATTAGTAGCTACAATTTGTATATCTCGGAATTTTGATATCGGTGACCTAAGGTCAGGTCAATTTCGCGACCTCCCCATTATAAGTCAATGGGGGAAAAATCAACTCCCTGTTTTTACCACTAAAACGGGTCGGAATGGCCCCATATACCATACATGACTTCATATACGATCAACCTTCACTACCTTGAGGTCTGTTTTGCTGTTGGGCAGCTGTGAGGTCATGTAACGTCATCAAAGGTCACCAAAGGTTTTTGGCCAATAACTCCGTACAGGAACAAGATACAGACGCGTGGATGGTCTCATTGTGTTCAGCTCGTCAAGACGATATACATGATGACCTCGAGGTCACGTGACCTGAGGTCAACCTTTGACCTTGACCTTTCGAGGTCAACATATATATCATTCGATGCGGATTGACGAGAGGATCACGATGATGCCCTTAGTTTGTTCCTATCTTGACTAATTCGAAAGTTATTCGAGAAAAACTCTCTCCATATTTAGCGCCGCTATTTTGACTTTTTCGACCCCTGTGACGTCATCTTTGACCTGACCTGAAAATGACCTTAGTAAAAATTGTAGATCTTGACCGTGCGTATCCGATGCCGTTTACCGCTTGTCGCTATCTTGCTTCGTTCTCGAGATCTCAGGGGGGGGGCGGTCATCCGCCCCCCCCCGTCGGTACTAAGTTGGCGCAGACCCCCGTCGGTGCGCGGGTTAATGGAAGCTTTCAAGAGCACTTCGGCCCCCTTCTTCAGCCAAGTTACACAAAACACTAAAATAATAATAAAGCTGGTGTCAAAACAACATTTCATACATTAACTATGTCCCAGCTGAACAACAACATTTATAATTGCGTCTATCTACTTACTTATATATCAGCACACAGCGGATGTAGGCAGTTTAATTTACACATTTGACATAACTATACAGCGGTGTTTAAATCTCTAACTGGGCCGACCAAACTCGAGTGGAGCGAGGGCTGAATCACAGCATAATCAATGAAATGCTAGTGACATGATCCCGTTAGGGCAATGGCGTCATCCTCCGTCATCATCCGAATGCAGGCGCTAGTCTGTCGGGCATCGATCCACTATTAGTTCATCGCCCGCCGCGACCGCTTTCCGATGCATAATTTCCACATTCGGCACTTTTTCCACCCACATGCCGACCCTCATGGTGGCTTCAAGTGAGTATAAATGGCGTCCGTTCGACGCTGGGGGCATCAGTCGACGCGGCTCGACACGGCTCCCCTCTGAGCCCTCCCCTCCCTCCACCGACGCGTTGCCCCGCCCCTCTCGTGCCCCTCACACCATGCCTCGCCTGACAGCCCTGCTGCTGTGCGCCTGGCTGGCCTCCAGCTCGGCCCTCATCGTGCCGCCGATGCTAAAGAGAATGCTGGAGCCTCTGGGGGAGCCGGTGCCGCTCAGCTGGCGCCGATCGGCGGAGAAGAGAGCCGTTCCGATGAGTGACGACGTGTTCGGCCTGCCTCTCTCGCCGGAGGATTTTGCTGCGGCGGCTGACATCCCCGATGACGTGCCTCAGTCCGGGCCGGGAGCCGAGGACCCCATCGAGCTGGCCGGCCTGTTCGAGGGCGACATCTCGCACATGGAGTCGACCAAGGTGCTGCTAGATGGAGACGTCGCCTTTGACGGCGACGACATGTTCGTCCGCAACGCCATCCGCGAGGAGGGCAGCCTCTGGCCGGACTCGGAGATCCCGTACCTGATCTCTTCAAGCTACACGCAGCGCGAGCGGGCCATCATCGCCAAGGCGGTGGCGGCGTTTGAGAAGAACACGTGCATCCGGATCGTGCCGCGCACCACGCAGAAGGACTACATCCACGTGCGGAAGGGCTCCGGCTGCAGCAGCGCCGTCGGTGTGGTAGGAGGCGTCCAGGAGCTCTCGCTCGCCGACGGCTGCGTCTACCCCGGAGTCGTGATGCACGAGTTCATGCACGCAGCCGGCTTCTGGCACGAGCAGAGCCGTCCAGACCGCGGTGACCACGTCATCATCAACTGGGGCAACATCATCTCCGGCATGGACTACAACTTCCACAAGTACGAGTGGACCAAGATCCAGAGCCTGGACGAGCCGTATGACGTGACCTCAATCATGCACTACGGGCCGTACGCGTTCGCCGCTAACCGCAAGCTGCGCACCATCACTCCCATCAAGCCCACCGACCAGATGGGACAGCGCAACGGCTTCTCCGAGATCGACATCAAGAAGCTCAACAAGCTGTACAAGTGCCAGGGCACTGGCGGCGGCGCGGTGGGCCCCACCAAAGCGCCGGAGCCCTCTGCATGCCAGGACAACAACGAGTACTGCTCCGAGTGGAGCGCCCGCGGCGAGTGCACCAAAAACCCCACCTGGATGAACGTCCACTGCGCCAAGTCGTGCGGCACGTGCAAAGCCTGCGCCGACCACAACACCTACTGTCTCTCGTGGGCCAAGTCCGGCGAGTGCGCCAACAACTGGAGCTACATGAGCATCTACTGCCGCGACTCGTGTGGTCTCTGCCTGGGTAGCGACTTCGCCCACTGCGCTGACAAGAACAAGTACTGCGCCGACTGGGCCGAGATCGGCGAGTGCACCAACAATCCCGACTTCATGCTGCAGGACTGCAAGAAGGCCTGTGGCGCCTGCTGATACGCCCATGGGATCGGCGCAACTGTTCCTCAGATGCCCTCAGAGGCATTGCAGTAGTTCCTTTAGATGTTCCAGAGGGCGGTAGCCCTGTCACCTACCACTTATCTCAGGGTATTGATGTGTGACCTTGTTGAACGCGATGCTTCACGGTACGTCATGACTATGTGGTAACTTGGACTTCGCAAATTTTTCCAAACTTTCCATGCATAATTGGATATTTGGTACGGTTTCGTATATCGCAGAGACAGGCTTAGTGCAAATGTATCCCAATTCCCAGCTACTGTGACTCGTACATAATGTTTATTTCTACTTTTATACAGACGGTGTTCTTGACTGCGATTAAAAATACACACAAAATACAGCATAGTACTTATGCAACTAGAACAACTTCCTATAAACATGACACATTTAGGTAATCGCAAAAAAACATCAAAAGCCAATGCGACACCACCCATTTTCTTGAATATCTTGCTCGAGACCAGAAGCAGGGCGAGAAGTCGATGGATCTGCGCGATCTAAGCATATAACGCTTTTAACATGCTTGCAAGTCATCTGATTATTTTGCAAGTTTCAAATGTGTTTTGATATCAATGTAAAGTGTGTTTGATTTCATCATAAATGTGGTTTGAGAAGAACTGGTTTTAACTTGACTTTGCTTGACATGCTGCATAATCCGTTACAGTTATGTTTCAGCTTCCGTGTTAAGTATTCGTACTTCATTTAATTCGATTAAGGTTTACATGCACATACACAGTTACTACACACACTAGTGCGTAAGACGTCCCTGCCATAGCGTGTAACAAGGGCCAATGTCGCTGCTTCCCATATTCCCTCGCGATTAAACCTGAATTAGAACGCACATGGGTGCAACCATTACACAGCACGCTGGTCCAAATTGGTCATATATGGTAATCTATTGATGAACATGACCGCTTCTTATTTCGTCCCACTAGTAGCGGTGCGGCGATCCGGCACGGTATCTTGTTTTCGGCGCGCTCCTCTGGGACGGCGGAAGACGAGGTGAGCCCAGATTTCCCTGGAGGGACGGCTGAGGTCACCAGAGCACCTGCAGCCCCTCCATGGAGCTCAGATTCCCATGCGTGCGCTCAATGCCACCAGACCTTTCGGCAGGTATCAGTGGGATCGGACGCCACTTCCGAAACACGTCTCTTTATATGATCCAACACATATCCGGCCGATGACGGCAATCATTCCTGATGCCTCCAGCCACAGCTCCAGCATTTGGAAATTTGTCGCCTGTCCTGCGTATTGGTATGCTTGGTATACTAAACTCTGACGATCGACGTTCATTTTACATTGCTTGAAAATGATTCAGAAGTTATCATGTACCGTCGTCTTGATCCGTATAAGGGCAAATGTTCTGAAATGTCATTAGAAAAACAAATACATGCAAGTGCTCTTAAGCGGCGTATAAGAAATACAAATCAGAACACATGCACATTTAATTTTTTTTCTAGATAAGCCATCGTAAGTTGTAGCATTGACTTCATTCGAGTTTATAAATAACTAAAAGCATGCTTTATACAAACCAACTTTGTGCGTGAACGCTCCCTCTTATGATCACGATCAATTAGGGGCGAGAAATTAGACGCACGTCATTATTGGCGGAGATTGAACAATTATCGTTCAATACCCACATGAGACGAATACTGAATACATCTTGGTACCGGAAACTCGGCCCCGGTCGGTGAAACTTCTTAACTATGGTCAAAAATAACGGCCCTGCCAATCAGGTCATCAGACTGGCCGACAAATTGTCAATCAGCACAAGTTATGTTACATAATTGGTCGCATGGGGGCTACAGCAAACGTGCAATTCTGTCGGTTTTAGCGAAATGAAAAATAATATCATTGAACTAGCTTATATAGATTATCAGGACTGTCTGTTGGTGACATGAAGGGACTTCTCGCAGAATTGTGGAGAGATAAATGAATAATTGATAAACAAGGTATATATTATTTTAATGATGCCTCCTACGTCCACAGTACTTGTAAGAAGTTTAAAATATCGTCTGCAGGACGAGAAACAGTAAATACTCCTAATAGATTAATGCGGAATTCAAACCAAATACGTTCACCTTTTGCATCGGCATAATGGCTCCGAAAAATCAGCTCTGGACACCGAAAATAAACCAATGACGTCATCGAAAACAAAAACACCCGGCACTGCGGCTCGTGATCCTGCTTAGCAGCCGTGTATAGGCCGATTACCGGTGGCCTGATGAAGACGTAAGCGGTTCATTCGGGCGAAGATCGCGGCCAACACTGCCGCCTCCACCGTAACTCAAACAGCCACGCTCCTGGCGTAAAAAAAACTCGGGATTCCATGGCAGCATAGGGTGCATACGTGTCAGGGCTGTGCATAAGTGGGTTAAGAGTAGGCCGCTGTTTATATTCGTCTAAATTCCGGATACAGAGGCTTTCCTATATCGACACACCCATGAGTATGACGACATAGGGATTGTTTTTGAAGTGGCGCTTAGGGCTAAGCTCATATCTGTAAGCCACTAAGACACAGCAATATTCAGATCTGAAGATAAGATTACTGTTTCCTGAGATCATCCATCATAACTAGTTCTCTATTTAGGACTACGAGATAATTCGTTTTTATGCATGCGCAGCCTATTTCAGCATTATGAGCGAATCAGTTGTGCGAATGTGAAATTGACGTGAAAAAGGTGCATGCAACTGATGTTGTCATGACTATTTCTGTAGGTAATCGTTGACAATCCTCCCTTTCGCAGCTTGTGATGTCTGTCGACGAAGATTACTGTTATTTTATAGACTTTGCGAGGAAACGCAACGCTGCATTCCATTCATAACTCAACATCATAATTCAAAACATACATCACATACATGTATTGGCCATACTTCTCCAATTCATGGAATCCAACGAGATTTATGGCGATCCGACCTGCAGTTTAGTCGCACTACCTACCCACTGAGACGACATTCATCCAAGCTTTGGATCCATTGACATTCTGGTCCACATATACATCTCAGCACCTCAGCACCACTTCGCTCCCACGATTTTCTCGGCAATCATGTGCGTTTCAACCAGCCTAGTGAGAATATCTGGTTTTGTAGCGAATCCATGACAGATATAAAATGACGATAATAGCTCAAGTTTTATTCTTCGCCATATTCTTCATCTCATTGACAGTGATCAAGATACTATACGTATCGGAAGCTTTGTCTTTTACAATAATCTTGAGTTATTATCGTCATTTTATACCTGGTTTGTTGAAATGCGACGTGATCCACACCAACCACTGGCTCGTTCCGCGCTTGCAGTTTCACGCACACAACAAATCCGCGGTACCCCTGCTTACCCCGTCTGCATGCCTCATGCTTCATCTTCGGACTAGCAGGCCTCTGACCACACAAATTGTGCCGGCAGGAAGCGTTTACCCGGCTGCCGGGTCAGCCGTCTGATCCTGGATTACAGGACACGGGCAGACGGACTGCACTGCGGTGACGGTCAGAACTCAGAAGGCTGGCACTCGGCGGTGACGGTCGGACGCGGCGCCGGTCGTGACACTCCCACTGTTTGCGGTTGGAGCGCCGACCGCAAAATGCCGTGACGTAGTGCCGACTACTGTGCCAAGGCTTAATTTTCTGTGGATGCTGAGATGCGATGCGATGAGTTATATGTTTGGAGCCTGAAATGAAAATCAGGCTGCAGCTACGTAGGTGAGAAGCGTGTATGAATGTGTATTGTGTATGTAATCCCGTAATGTACAATGAATTGTACAGTTGACTACAGAATGATGTTCCGCTCCCCAAAAGCTATCAGTTACCTGGAACGCTAAGTTCTGCCGCTTATCACGTAATTAAAGCTGTCTACTGTCTATTGTGAGCGCTGAGTCACAGCATTAAACTGTTAAATCAGTTCGTGTGATGCGGCACAACCTACCACTCCAGGCAACCTGCGAAAAGTGGAACATCATTCTGTAGTTAACTGTACATTGTCTCTCCTCATGTTATCAGTCATTCGGAAATCATAATACTAAGACGCGCATGGCAAATGTTAATGTTTCGACAAAAACAACCTTTTGCTTTTTGCGGACACACTGCAGGGCGTATGATTAAGTTAATGGGCCCAATCGAAAGTGCGGAACATCGCAAGTCCCTGTTTTATGATCTCCCATCAACCGACACCATTCCCGGTTTTGTCTGGGAAAGAATATCTTCCAGTCTACCACGCAGTGAGGCGAGGACTGTGCTAAGCCAACAGAAGGAAAGCGTCCGCGCTTTTCTTCTGTTGGCCTGCAGCTTCTGACAGTCAATATGCCTCAGCCATTGAAAGAATGGTATTAATGAAGAAGTAAATCATATCCGAAAAGCTGGAAGTGCATCATGTTTCATTGATTTCCCATTAATCAAAGCTCAATAAATGAAATAATAGAAGCACTCTGACGTCACAACTCTCAGCTCAAATAACAAATATAGGTATGAATAAAGGACACCGCGGAGAGAGGACAACGCTTTAGTGACCTCAACTACCTGTATTATCATCCCCACGACTTAGACTATTCCCACTATCCCATTAAACATTAATGACTCAGCCATTAGCTCAGTGCTGTGCCATTTAAAACCTAATGCGGATTTGGTGAATCTTTTTAGGAAGCATTTATGTAAGTCTTCATTCAACCGCTGTAGCAGTGAACTATCAATTTCCATGCGAGTGCAGTAGGCCGGAACAAGGATTAGGGATACTCCAGCCGTCTAGACCCCGCAATGGTATCGGTGTCATGTTCTGAGAATATCTAAACTGCCGGGATTGCACCTAGCTGAGATCTGAGCATCCATCGCTTAATCACAAGACTCTGTGACGTCAACTACCAGTTCTAAATTAGTTAAAATCTAAACTACCAGTTCTTTATTATGCGCCGTGCATGCTGTTCGACTGGTTGATCTCAATCTGAAGCAGTTGCTAAGTAGGATCTGCGTCGTTGCAAACACGTTGCAAAAATGTGTTCTTTCGGTGTGCCGGAAAAGTGCCGAAGGTCATGATATTTCCTTGCGACATGTATAATGAACACACTTATGTAGGTATCTAAGGTTCTTTATTTCATTAATGAGCAAGCAAGCGCAGCAAGGCAATCGAGCTCATCTGCGGAGAAATCAAATGGGGCGGCAGCCCCGGTTCCGTGACGT